TTGAATATAAGAGTTGACAGGGGTAATTTCCTGCGGGAGCACACAGGAGTGGAGCTCCGGCAGTAAGGAACCCAGGGGCCGGGCACATGCAACAAGCCCCGCCCCCTGCTCCCAGCAGCCCTCAGTCAGGCCACGAGGAGCAAGAAGCAGCCAGGTAAGTTGCAGAGCCCCCCCCCGGCCCGCCTTCAGGTACAAGCTCTCCCTCCTCTGTGAGAGCAGATCTGTGCATTCCCCCCCGCCAAAGCTAGCAATCCAAAACAGTCCAGTGGCACCTTTAAGACCAAGTTTTATTCAGGTACAAGCTCTCCTTCCTCTGCCAGGACAGATCTGCACGTTCCCCCCCTCCCCCCCATAGCTAGCAATCCAAAACAGTCCAGTGGAGCCTGAACTGTGGGTGTTGCCTTCTGACACATTTCCGGTGATGTCAGGGGGTGTGGCGTATGCAAATAAGTCATGCTAATGAGCTCCTGCACCTCTTTTTCTACGCAATGACCCCTGAGAGTTGATCATGTTGGGAGGCATCTCAGAAGGGTGACCTTAGTATGTGTCCATCAGCCACAGCTCAGGTGCCCTCTGTAAGCTGGCTATCTCTGTGACTGGCAGCAGAATGAGCTATAAGTATTAAGAAAACTGACAGTGTAAAGTCAATTAACCTCTTCCTCCTTCCCCCCTGCTGTACTTTCTTTGCTTACAGATTCTGGTGGGAGAACCCCAGTGTTTTCACTCCTCGGCAACGCCATGTTCTTAGCCGTGCATCATTGTCCCGCATAATTTGTGACAACACACACATCAAGGAGGTACCCATGGACGTTTTCACGAGGAGCCAGTACCCCAGAGATTTTGTGAACTGCACAGAAGTCATGGGACTTGACTTGTCAGCTTGGAAAGAAGAGAATGATGTTGGCGTGAAAGGAGGAGGGCAAAAGGAGCCGCCGTCGGCCTCTGGCTGTGCACCCTGATCTTACTTGGAGACAGAACTCAGGGAGGGCTAAGCCCCGAAATGGGCTTTCCAAGGTTCAGCCCTACAAATATCTGAAGCACCTGTTTATATGGACTGAGTGACTTTTCATCAGCACAGTATGCACACAGTGAGCCCTATGAGCCTGAGACTGATGAAATAAGACTTTGTTTCCCCTGTTGAGGTTGACCCCAAGAACCTGGGGATGGAATGCAGCTTAGTGGTAGAACATCTGCTTGGGATGCAGAAGGTCCCAGGTACAATCGGTCTCACCACCTAAAAGGGTCAGGTAGTAGGTGATGTGAAAGATCTCTACTGGAAATCCTGGAAATCCGTTCTGTTAAAAACCTGAGATTTAAGAGAGTTGAACTGCAGGTTCCAAAACATGAAAGAAATGGAACCGGGGAAGTCTGATCATCCCTAAGAGCAACCATTCTGCAGACCAAAGTTCCGCGTAGCCCAAAATCCTATTTCACAGAATGGCCAACCAGCTGCCCCTGGAGGGCCAAAGCCTTCCTTTGTTATTGGCCCCCAGCACGGGTATTAAGCACAGGGTTGCCAGTTCTGGGTTGGAAATTTTGGGGGTGGGGCCTGGGGAGGACAAGAGAAGGGACTTTGGCAGGGAATAATGCCATAGAGTCCACCACTGTTCCCTCTAAGCTGAGTTAGTGTGAGCTAGCTCACAGTTTTTTAGCCTCCGGCTCAACCATTGTTGTCTTCGCTCAGGAAGGGACGGCTCCAGAGCAAACTCATTGATGGAGCAGCCCAGTCGCTCGCTCACCACTTTAATGCCGGCAGCTCACAAAGTAGAATTTTTGCTCATAAGACCTCCACAGCTTAGAGGGAGCATTGGAGTCCACCCTCCAAAGCAGCCATTTTCTCCAGGGGGACTTATCTCGATCACCTGGAGATCAGGCGGGAGATCACCAGATGCCACCTGGAAGTTGGCAACCCTAATTAAGCAGCATAATATCTTCAGCATGCTTTGGGAGAAGGCTTGCAGAGGGGTACTGGTTTCTGGAATAATCAAGATTCAGTTTAAGGATCCAATGTGAGCAAACTGGCCCACATCTGAGTGTTCACTAGTGACAGAATGGGATGCATGCCAGTGTTTCCCCTGGCCCTGCCTTGATTTCTCAGCCTCACATATGTGACTTGATGATGACCTATGTCATTTACAAAAATACTGACTGATTGTGTCCTGGACACATACAAAATCATTTCTAAATTAAAAATGATGTGGATAGAGGTTACTTGTCTCACTGCTTGATATCCTTTCTTTATTCTAAGACTAGTTCAACATGGGGCCAGGAATTCCTATTAGAAAGAACTCAGGTAGCCAAGCTTGTTTGGGAGTTACCATTTATATGGCAGAATTGCGCGGCGGTGAAGCATGGGTGAGAAAAACACAGTTGAACATGATGCAGAGATCACGGCAAAAAGAAAACTTACTTAACTGCAGGCAGATTCACATCTGTTGGGAGTAAAAGAGAATGCTAAATGAAGGAATACTTTTCTACAAGTGGATGGCTAATCCAGCATGATGCGGTCGGTAGAAGAAAAAGAAGAGTTGGTTTTTATACCCCACTTTTATCTACCCTAAGGAGTGTCCAAGCGGCTTAAAATCGCATTCCCTTCCTCTCCCCAAAACAGGTGGTTTGTGAGGCATGTGGGACTGGGACAGTTCTGAGAGAACTGTGACTGGCCCAAGGTCACTCAGCAGGCTTCATGAGGTGAAGTGGGGAATCAAGCCCGGTTCTTCAGATTAGAGTCTGCCACTCTTAACCACTACAATACATTGGCTCTCCACAGTGATGGGTAGGTTATGCCTGGCCATTATCCCAGGAAGAGGAAAAAAAAGACTCTGGAGTCATTTAACCCCCTGCTTTCTGCTCACCGCTGAAAGCGGTGACAAGCAGAAAGCAGCCATTTTGGGTGGCAAGCACCCTGCTTTCTGCTCCCTGCTGCTTTTCCCGGGGAGCAGAAAGCAGGGGTTTAAATGGCGCCGAACCATTTAAATAAAACAGTTGAGCTCCTGAAGAACAGAAACTTTTGAGCTATTTAAACCCCTGTGATTTGCTCTTCATAAACAGCCATGAACCGCCACAACCTGCATCAAAATTCATGGAAGTTTGTGGCGGTTCTTCAGTTTGCAAAAATCGCTTTGCAAAGCACGAACTGCCCCAAATTTGTGACAAACTGTAGTTCGTGAGTAGGTTTGTATCCATCCCTATCCATAATAAGATGTTGTGGAGGTCATTAATTCACAGGGTTGCCATAAGTCAGAAGCGACTCGATAGCACATAACACACACACTTTGTATAGAACTGAGTGGTGGAGTCCCTGCTTTGCATAGAGAAGATTGCTGGTTCAATCCCAGAACTCCCTTCATGGCGCCAAAGGAAAGACCCTTTCAGGCCGAACACCTTGGAGAGCTGTTGCCAGTCGATGTTGGGGCAGACGGACTAGGGCAACATAATTAATTCATATGAAACAGCTCTGCAGTATACCCCTCAAGATGCATTCCTTCCATATGGTTTCTGACTATATTGTTTGGGCTCTCCTTGGCAATTTAAAAGATCCGTTGCAGTCACAACAGTATTTGGCTTGTTTACAAATAACGGTTTATTGGGAAACTCTGGCCTCAGTTGCAAAACTTGCAACCTTTTATTCCACTATCGGCTTTTGTGGACTTCTTCAAATGCAAACACTTGGATCTTCATTATCGAGGCAAATATCTGCATAGAGATGCTCAGCTCCATGGCTCTTCTGTATCTAATACGGGAGGTCCTATCCTAGGAAACCTGGTGTGCAAATCAGTCTGTGGACTTCAAGAAGAAGAGAAGAGATTGGATTTATACCCCGGCCCTTCACTCGGGGTCTCAGAGCGGCTTACAAACTCCTTTCTCTTCCCCTCCCCACAACAGACACCCTGTGAGGTGGGTGGGGCTGAGAGAACTCTGACAGAAACGCCTCTTTTTCAAGGACAGCTGTGCCAGAGCTTGCGACTGACCCAAGGTCACATCAGCAGGTGCAAGCGGAGGAGTGGGGAAATCAAACCCGGTTCTCCCAGATTAGAGTCCGCACACTTAACCACTACACCAAACTGGCAAGGTGCCACAAGGAGTTGCCAGGAGTTGGATTGGGTGCGGGGGTAGGGTGTACTTCATGACATTATACCCTGCTGAGCAATGCCCCTCCCCAAGGGTCCACCCCCAAATCTCTAGGAATTTCCCAACTCGGAATTGGTAACCCTGCCCAGAGCTCTTTGCTGTTAACTCCCTCCCCTCAAAAGACTGTGGTCAATTGGATAAACAGGACAGTATTGCAAACGGCAGATAACAGCAATAATTTGTACACTGGATACTGAGAGAGAACTGCTAAACGGGACATGAAGAATGAAGAGTTGAGAGTTGATCTTCAAGTACCTACTCACTCAGGAGGCTGCCTGCAGTATCTCTGCATGACCTATTCCTCTTGCCTTTCCATTCTACCAAGGCGGGGGGACCTCAGGTAAGGTTTTGCCTCGTTTCCCCAAACAGTAGCTTTGATCAATCTGACAGGACAACATATGGCACACGGATCTTATCCACTTTGCCAAGCCATTCCCGCCCCCCCATCTGGCGACACCTAGTGGGGCTTGGATATTTCAGAGAGGTGGCTTGCTATTGCCTGCCTCTGCATCCCAGCCCTGGTATTCCTTGGAGGTCTCCCTTCCAAGCACTTGCCAGGGTCAGCCTGCTTAGCTTCAGAGATCTGATGAGATCGGGCTTGCCTGGGCTATCCAGGTCCGGGCTGAACAAGTATCCATCTTGAAGTAACCAGTAACCAGCTAAGATGCCAGTTAGACAGTCAGAATGCTTTTTTTGTGTGTGTGTTTACTTTTATATCCAAAAGTTTCCCTTCCCTCTTTTATAGTAAAGTTCTTCATAAAAGCTAAACTCACGAGCCTGCGCCTCTTTGTTACTCTGCTTCAGAATCCCAACAAAGAGGCATCTGCATTGGATCTTGATTCTTTATTATTTAGATTTCTATACCCTCCTTTGCCAGAGGGGATTACAACAATATTTTAAGCACTGATAAAAAAGAGACCAACACAACCACTCTTTGGAAATGTAACATCTGCAGATGCAGAAGGGACATACACTGTGACCATTTGAATACGGCGATTTGCTGCAATAAGCTTGGTGGGGTGGAGCATTTCCACCTTGACATTTCCACGGTGAATGCTTGCACTTGCTGGGATGCAAAAGCAACCAAAAAAGGGAAGTACGGCTTCCTGGATGTGACAGTTCTAGCTCTTGATCAATGAAGGGCAGGCACCATCAGCAGCAGCTGTAAGATTCCTCTTATGAAGAACAGGGGAAAGTGCTCTTAAGCTTTCTCTCGGGTGTGAAATTTCCTTCTCAGGGATTATGCAGCAAAAGACCATACAACCTACTAGTGTCCAGCAGTTCTGGCTTTCTTCCGAGGGGTGACCAGCCAGGAACTGTCACGTCTTTTCCCGCAGCATCTGGTGTTCAGAAGCAGAGTAACTCTGTACATGGAGGTTTCTCTTATCAATCATCGAGGACTGAAAACGGATCAGATAATCATTTCCCACTTGTTTCTATGGAGCTTGTGCACGGGAAACTACCCGATGGATTGGGTCCCGTTCTGAGGTCATTGGATGCTCATGTCTGGATTATCTTTACCTTGAGATGACCTCACTCTGCCTAAACTCGCTTCTCCCTGTGACAGACATTCGGAAAGTAACAAAATGTGAAGTCTTTTTCCAACTACGATCCTGCAAGTAGCTGTAGCAAGCACCAATTGGCTATTGCCAGTTACAACTGTAGTCAAAGTTTTGGTGAAGAAGAGATGGATATGAAAGAAAATCATGAGTAGTTTGTTCATGAATATAATGGAAGAAGAACATTGGGAGGCTATCAGCTGCTTATCACAATGCCCTGTCACTTCAAGATCACAAGCCCTTTGTCCCCACACCCTACACCGATCCCTAAGCCTGAGCAAGTGGAATTGGAATGAGCACATCTTCTTCCCTGGGTTACCCCTTCCTCCAACTCCCTCCCCTCCCCTCTTCATCTACTTTTTTTTTTTTTACCTTTTGACACTTTATTTATAAATTTTATATGATACAATATTAACAGCTGTTTAGAGTGGTAGAAGCATTCAGAAACAGCATAAAGCTTAACAACAACCAGGCCAGTCAGAACGGCATATAAGAAACAATAAAGGTTTCAAAAATACAAAAGGTTTTGGTAATAACAGTTATTGGGGACAAAATCCCCTTCAGACAGGTAGCTGACCAGTGGGAACCAGATTGCTTGAAATGTGTGTTGATGGCTGCCCGTGATGAGTGCAGCGTTTTGCGAGGCAATTTTCCCTAGAAGAAAATGTTCCCATAATTTGTTTTTCCAGTTATTCAAGGAGGGTACTGCTTTGTCTTTCCATTTTTGAGCAATCATGATTCTGGCGATGGCAATTCATCTACTTTATTGACTGAAAGTTCCTTGGGGCAGGGAATTGCTATCTTGTACTTGGTGAAGCATCTGATAAACTGACAGT